GTCTCAAACTCTTGACCTCAGGTGATCTGCTCACCTTGGCCTCCCAAAGTGATGGGATTACAGGCATAAGCCACCACCCCTGGACCCGGTGTGACTTTTTAAAAGCATGCCCATTCATCTGCTCACTCAAGTCCACCCAGTACAGAGGAGTGTGGTGAGGCCTCTGCACTGCAGGGCTCAGGAGAATCAGGGCTTTGGAAACGCCAACTTTGCCTACATCACTAGCACCCCTGTAAAGCCTAGAGATACTAAACCTTGTGTTTCATCTTCACCAAAAGATATGAAGGGTACAGTGGACACTGGTCATCTTGGGCTGTCTGGCATCCATTCTCCCGCCTGGCTAAAGCACAGTGATCCCCTTTGGGAACCTTTACCTTCATGGGAGGTGCCGTTGCCTCCCCTATGGAAGCCCAAAGGCCAGAATCTCCCTCACTCCAGTACAGGTGGGGTGGGGAGGGGCAGACCACAGGACCCTGGGCTGTTTTGGGGAGATGGAGGTCACTCCCCAGCCGTGGTGGCACATGGACCAGACAGGCCTTGCCACTAACTTCTATGTTATGTCAGTGGCCTCCCCACTTCCGGAGCTCCCCCAGGTGCTGCCTGTGTTCCAAGCCAGTCTCCCAGCCTGGTGGCAGCCCCCTTCTGATAGGTGCCCTTGGCTCTTTCCTCACAATCAGGAATGCAGACTGGGCAATGGAGACAAATGGGCTGATGCAGAGAAGAGTATTTTTCATGGAAGCCCCAAACCCTCGCCGCACCTCAGAGTTTATTGCAGTGCTTCATTCAAACTGAGCTCTGAAATCTATTTTAAACTATTTTTAAAACACTCATTAAAACACTTAACAAGAACAGGTTACCCTTGGGGGACTCCTGACGGTGGGGTTAGGCCATCAGGAACCTTCTGGAGGGCTGATGACATTCTTCACCTCAATCTGTGTTGTGGTTTCAAGAGTAGAGGCATAGGACTGCACAACTAGGTGGATGTACTGGATGCCACTGATTGTACACTTAAAAATGCTTTCTGGTGGCAAATGTTATGTATATTTTACCGCAGTATAAAAAAGCACGATTTAAAACAGAATTCAAGATATTGCTTTAAAATGATTTCAAGAAATACCAGATTAAGCCAAAAAAGAAGAGTATAGGCATAAATTAAAAATTCATCAAGCTTTGCCCTCTTTACATATATGTGAGCTGCACCCTAATTAAAACAACAAAAAAACGCTGCTCTATACCAAATTTCACTACGCTGGCAACCCAAAGCTTTCCTAGTTATCTCGAGGTACCAGACAGCTCCTTTTCTACAGAACTCAAGACACAGCATCTCAAGCTCGAGCTGGATCCCAAAGTTTCAAGGCAGCTGTTGAAAATCTCTTAGCGTTGGCAAGCATGCATCTATGTGACTCAGATGATTTTTCCATTCTGTGCAATCAAAACAAAATATGAAAAATCAACTGGATATTGGGATGAGAAAATCATAGACATGGAATACAGATAAACGGGTGCCAGCAGTTAGGGAAGCGGAGGGTGGCAGGGGGTGGCTCTCAAGAGGCAGTCCGAGGGGGCGTCTCAGCAGCCATGGAACCTTCTGTTCCTGATTGTCATGGTGGATGGACAAAGCTGCCCATGTAATAAGACGTCACAGAACTTTATACGAAAGCATACCAAAAGATGAGTGCATGCAGAAACCAGTAAAACCTGATTAAGAGCTGTAGTCTAGATCACTCTATCAGGTCCATCTATTTCCTGGTTCTGAGAGTGCACTGCAGTTACGTCAGATGTTGCCACTGGACAAAGCTGGGTGATAGGTACAATAGACCTCTCTGTACTCTTTTGGCAATTATCGTGACTGTATAATTATTCAAAATAAAAACATTTTAAAGTCCATAAATAAATTGGATGCTGAGATCAATATACGACTGCCATAACCCCATATTTTTCTGTTCATCAAATCATCCCATTGTTCTGACTGGTTTAATCATCTGTACAAGCAAAATATGACACATTAAAATAAATGTATACTAATAAAACACCATATAAGTTTAATTTTTTTAAAAAAGAAAAAAGGCACCTCCTCCTTTGGAGAAGCTGAAAATCACTGACGTATTAGAAAGAACACACAGTGGGGATCAGGAAATAGACTGGTTCTGCCCTCAGCTAACCAGCTGTCACATGAAGAACAATGACTCCACCCAGTCCTGACCATTAAAGGACTTTCTTGTTAAGGAAGTGAGACGTATGCACCTGGGAGGGGATATGAGGACATAAGATGCTCCCTAGTAACATGTGGCAAAGTATCAAATGAATAGTGCTATGGATTGACTTGTGTCCCCACAAAATTCTTATGTAGAAACCGTAACTTCCAATGTGACTATAGGTAGACAGAGGACCTTTACAAAGCCGATTAAGGCTGGCCGGGCACGGTGGCTCACGCCTGTAATCCCAGCACTCTGGGAGGCCGAGGCGGATAGATCATGAGATCAGGAGATCGATACCATCCTGGCAAACACAGTGAAACCCCGTCTCTACTAAAATTACAAAAAAATTAGTTGGGCATGGTGGCAGGCACCTGTAGTCCCACCTACTCGGGAGGCTGAGGCAGGAGAATTGCTTGAACCCAGGAGGCAGAGGTTGCAGTGAGCCAAGATCATGCCACTGCACTACAGCCTGGACAACAGAGCAAGACTATCTCAACAACAACAACAAAAGCTAATTAAGGTTATATGAGGTCACAGAGGTGGGGCTCTAGGCCAGTATGACTGGTGTCCTTGCAAGGAGGAGAGACAACAGGCAGGTGCACACACAGAGGAAAGGCCACAAGAGGACACAGGAGAAGGCAGCCAGCTACAGCCAAGGGGAGAGGCCTCAGGAGAGGCCAAATCTGCCAACACTTGGATCTAGGACTTCTAGCCTCCAGATCTGTGAGACAACACATTTCTGTTGTTGAAGCCACTCAGTTTGTGTGGCATTTTGTTATGGCAGCCCAAGCAAACCAATAAATAGTATGGTGATGTGGCTTAGGAAAGGAGAAGATGCTTGATTTGAAGCAGCTGCCTGCTCTTCACCAGGGGCCTGAACACAGGATATAATCACAATTAATGGCATATTCCCATCAAAAGAGAAAACTTTTATATATTCAAAAGAAACTGAAAGCTAGTTATAAATCCTATGGAAGAAAACCACACCATTGGATACATGGTTTTAATGAACACTGGAATTGGAATCCCTTCACCTGCATGCATGCATTCATTCATTCATTCATTCAGTTCTTCTTCATTTAATCAACCAACCAACAGGAGTGACCAACCCTCTCAATCCAGTGCCAGGTGCTGAAGGACACATAGCCTGGAGGCCAGAGCTGGGCTCTGTGTTGCTCAGGGGCTTCCAGGGGAGAAGTATAGGCAAGAGCTACACGACTGAGATTGTGTCTCCACGGGGCAAGCCAGGAAGCAGGAGGAGCACGGAGCAGAGGCGCCCTGGACAGAGGTACTGTGGCCATGCCTGACCCATGAACCCCGGGAAAGAGCAGCCACTCCTAGAAACAGCACATGCCTGGCAGCCCTGTTGACAGACAGAGGTCAGTCTGCATAAGCCTCCATGGCCCCAACCTGACCTGGGCCTGTGTCAGCCAGCCCTCCAGGGAAGCATACTTCACATGGCCTTTGGCTAGCAATTCCCTCATGGAGACAGCCCCCAAATAACAAAGCAGGAGGAGTTGGCTGGTTGCTTCTTCACACCTTGCTCTCAGATCTGTTTAGAGGACCGATTAAGTGTAATATATTAAAAATCATTTTGTAAACTCTAAAATGTGACATGAATGGTAGCTATCATTAGATTTTGAAGGGTCTTGTGAGTCACCTAATCCAAAATGATCATTTGATGGATTAAGAAACCGGAGTGGAGACACACCCAAAGCCACCCAGCTGGCACGTGGCAGAGCCAGAACAAAGGCTTGGGATTACTCACTGCCGAGGCTCCACAAGAAGCTCTGGTTTTCAACATGTGAATTTCATAACATTATATATTTTTCACACCTATACTGTTTTCTTCGATTTTACAATTCTAAACATACACGATTCACAATTTTGATTCTGGCAATGCAATACTATATTTCGACCTCCTGATGAACAAAGGTTTGTGTTATGGCAGGCAAAACTGGAAACACCCTGGGCATTGTGCCTGTATTAACCAAACACTGTGTTCCTACACTCAAGAATGGTTTCCATTTGAAATCCAGGAGAAGTCAAGAGCAAACCAGACATAACTGAGGACAGGAGGCAAAGGAAAATGGCAGGTGAAGGGGAAGGTGAGGGAGGGAAAGTTAGAGTCGGAGGGGAAGGTAGAGGGGGAGGGGAAGGTAGAGGGGGAGGGGAGGGTAGAGGGGGAGGAGAAGGTAAAGGGGGAGGGGAGGGGAAGGGGAAAGTAGAGGGGGAGGGGAAGGTGGGGGGAAGGGAAGGTGGGGGGAGGGGAAGGTGACAGAGGGAAAGGGAGAGGAGGAAGGGAAGGGGAAGAAGGAAAGGAGGTTTTCTCAGCACTGTATGCCATTTTCAGTGCTGTCTTTAGTCACTAAAAAGCGAAGAGCCTGGCACAAGGTAAAGGGTAAAGCTCAATAAAGGTCATTTGCATGCATGAGAACAAACTGCTAAGCTTCCATCTCATGACCACAGCTGTGTAACTTGGTAGGCTGCCTCTCCTGCCTGGGTGACCAAAATGCTCAGAGCCAAATGCAACCCCAACTGCAGACCCCTTCGAACAGCCTGGTGGCTCTTCCCCTTGGTGTCACTCTTCATAGCTTCTTCATCTAATGCCTTCTGCCATAAATAACTTAAAAACATTTCAGGAAAATAGCAAAAGGAAAGTCAAAGACCAACTTACAAGAAGGAAGGCAACAGAATGTGCAGTGCTTGTTTGAGGACAGCTCCTCCACTGTGATCAAGAAGTCTCCAGATTCTCCCAGGGTGTATCAGTCCCTTAGATTATTATTTCAACTCTAAACTTACCAACAGTGTCACACGGTTCATCTTTGTGTACACAGAAATCTGTCCTAAAAAAAAAAAAAAAGAAAGCCATTATCAGGTATATGCAGTATCCCCAAGACTGGAAGAAGAAAACACTGTCAATTAACCTCAAGTAGTCATCCTGCAATGTTATTGTTCCAGTGGTCACAGGCCACAGTGAATGATAACAAACAGCAGCGTTTGGCAACAGTAACCCATCCACATTTCCCAGGGGTAGGTCCACTTACCCCACATGAGAATCTTCTTTTACAGATGAACTATTCTATACATAACAGTTGCTGGAAGGACTCCTTTCAGCAGCTGAAAATGTTTTGGAAGATGTTTGCCAAGTCACTGATCAGAGACAATTCTCAGACAATAGCATCCAACTGCAGTGGCTTCCCCAAGCTACTCTACTTGGGCAGCAACTGGTTTTTGATGCTGTAATGACCATGCATCACTTTAACGAGAAGACAACAAAAAGTCATCTCTAAAAACTATTCCTCTACTATGCAGCCATAAAAAGGAATGAGATCATATTCTTTGCAGAGACATGGATGGAGCTGGAGGCCATTATCCTCAGCAAACTAACGCAGGAACAGAAAAGCAAACACTACATGTTCTCACTTGTAAGTGGGAGCTGAATGATGAGAACACATGGACACATGGTTGTACACACACACCAGGGTCAGCCGGGTGAAGGGGGCTCAGGGAGAGGGAGAGCATGAGGAAGAATAGCTAAAGGATGCCAGGCTTAATACCTAGGTGATGGGTTGATCTGTGCTGCAAACCACCATGGCTCATGTTTACCTATGTAAAGAACCTGCACATCCTGCACATGTAACCCAGAACTTAAAAGTTGAAGGATTAAAAAACTGTATTCCTTAAAGCTCCCCAGGATCCCCTGGGTGGGTGGGCATCTGTGGACCAGTGAGACAGCAAAGATGCTTGAAACCTGGTCCAGCCCTGGTTCTGCAGGTACAAGGGGTTCATCTGGCTTCCTGTGGGGAAGTCAGGGGTCTGGGCTCTTCTTTCCTAATGCTGGAGCATTCCTATGGTTCTTTATAAGTTCCATGGTCAGGGGTCGACCACGGAGGGTTGGCTGGGGCAGGACTCAGCCTGGGAGCCGTGTGAGGAGCCACAACCTGGCCCAGACATGGCCCCTCCCAGGCCCCACACCCATCTTCTCTCAGGGCCCAAAGAACGCTTGAGATCCACACGTTTCATAACCTCACTCCAAAACCAAGAGAACTTTCAGGGAAATGGAGGATTATCATAAAGAGATGAAAAGGCCTAGTGACTCGATTTTTCCATCAGACTCCATTTTAGAAGATGAAGGAATAGGCGACAGAAGCAACACTGGCAGAGGGGAAACCAAATAAAATTAGGGGCATAGATGTTCTCACTGACCCAATACCTATCTAGCCCCAGCCCAACATTCAGCACCCTTCCCAATTCTGGTGTTTTGAGCGGCACACGTGCGCACACACACACACACACACATTCATACAAAGACCAGGCTGGCCCAGGACCTTGCTCCAGGGTTTCTCAGAGTTGTGAACAGTATATGTTTAAAGCTTTGCCCCATTGCCTCAGCTGGGCAAAGCGAGAAAGGGACCCAGGCCTCAGTCTGACAGAAGAGAAATGAAGCTGCTGGCCAAGGCCAAGGCAGGCGCCATTTTGCAGAGAGCCAGCCCTCTGGCTGAGGAGGACTCCACCTCCGCGCATTCTCCGATCTCATGGCCACCCTGAGGGGAAACAGGCAGTCTCAAATGACAGACCCCGAGGCACCACCCACTGCTTCACCTGAGGAAGAGGTGTGTTCAGCTCAGGGAGGGAGAGCTACACTCAGAGGCCTGTCTTGAAAAGGTCAGCTGAGTCTGAATCTCTATCCTTCCCATTCAAGGTCCTTTCTCAGAAGAGAAGCAGCAAGCCACCTGCCTCCAGGGGCGGCTTTATCTCCAGGGAACCTGGCTTTGTTCCATTCATTATCAGGGGCATCCACTTTTTATGTCATCCCACTGCCAACTCATGTCAAACCGTCAAGCAGGGACTGTAGCGTTCACTTCAGGAACGAAAAAAGTGAGGGCTAGACTCGGCTCCCAGTCCCGACATCCATTGAAACTCCAAGGTGCATTCCTCGAGGCTGACGTGGATCTGCATGACAGGGCTGGCTTTGTGGGTGTCTGACCCATGCCCTGGGCTAACGCTCTGCTGTCGAGGGGTCCCATGTTTTCATTTTGCAGGGGGCACCACAAGTTACACAGGTCGTCCTGTGCATAACTCACAGCCAGGCATACAGTTGGGACTCAATAAATTATTTCATTAATTGACTGACGTTTCCAGACCCTTTCAGGGGGTCCTGCAAGCTACCCAGCAGCCATGGCCTCACCAGCATTGGAAGCCTGGGAGCATAACACCAAGTTCCACGGATACTTACTGGGACCTCACCACGAGCAAAGCCTGGCAAGAGGGTCCCTTGGCAGAAGGTGAAGGGAAGGGTGTCCCGAGGAGTTAGATGGTATTACGCTGGAGGGGAAGGTCTGGCCAGAGGAATCCTGGTGGTGCAGCTTTGGGCCAGCTGTGTCTGCTGTGGCGCCTTTCAGGCACTCTCACCCGGAGCACAGGCCCAGGCTCAAGGAGGAGTTCTTGACTCCAGGGAGGAGTTCTCTGCGTTCTCGGCTTTCTGGGTCAGATGTGGAGCCCAAGGTGAAGCCCTCCTAGGTGCTGAAGCCCCCTGAGCCCTGGCGTCTGTGTGGGCTCCGTGTGGCCCCAGGCCCAGTCCACTCAGGGGTCCTTTCTAGTCCCAGCCACAGCTGCAGAAAACCCAGCTTCCACCGCTTCCGGCTCAGCAGCTCCTACTGGACATGACGTCATCCTCATATTCTCCACAGCAGCCACTTAGCCACCTGTTTGTCAGGGAATGTCTGGGAGAATACACGGTCCGGCTTGGTTACAGCCCGGAAGGTGAAAAAAGAACCTTAAACGGGAGGAAACCCTCACATTGGCCAGTCCTAGCTCAGGGCCTGGAAGCTGTCCCCTGAGCACAGCCAGGCCCGTGCAGCCTCAGCTCGGGTTACAGTGGGAGGAAAGGACAGCTTCTCTAGGGCGGCAGCTGCCTCGCACCCAATCTCCTTGTGAAAACATCAGCCCGTTATTATCTCAACCTAGGGAATTGCAGCTCTTTACCTCTAGTCATTAAACAAGGATTCCTGGCCAACTCAGCTTCCTGCCCGACTCCAGAGCTGCCTCCCCCGTCCTTGAAGGAGATCCTCAATTTAACATCTGCGAGGACCCAGAAGACAGGACATGCACTGATCTGTTCAGTCCAGCAGCTCCACGGCAGCAGGTGAGAGGGACTGTGATTGCTCACGTAGCTTCAAGGCGTCAGCCCAAAATGCAGAAGAAAGCTCAAGCTCCCGGGCTGGCAACAGGTAACAGCTATGCAAGAGGCCAATCGCATTCCTCATCCAGAGCCCAGCAGCCTGCGGCTGACGAAACCTTGTTTTCTCTGTCCCTGGATGAAGACACTGCCCATGCCCCCAGCATCCTCACCCAGAACCACTCCCATGCAATTAGGATCCCTCTCCAATGTGTTTAGTTAGAACAGAACATTTTTACTCTGAATTTTTTTTATTGTGCTACATGAACATAAAATTTACTATCTTAACCATTGAGTGTAAAGCTCAGTAGTGTTAATTAAATTCACACTGTCATGCAACCATCACCACTATCCACCTCCAAAACTTTTCCGTCATCCCACACTGAAACTCTGCACCCATGAAATAACTCCCCATTCTCCCTTCTCCCCAGCCTCTGGCAACCACCATTCTTTGTCTCTATGAATCCGACTACTGTAAGTACCTCACATAAGTGGAATCATGCAGTATTTGTCCTTGAGGTTCATCCACGTCATAGCATGCGTCACAATCTCCCTCCTTTTTAAGCCTGAGTAATATTCCCTTGTGCATATATAGCATATTTGTTTACCCATTCATCCATTGATGGACATATAGGTCACTCCCACCTTTTGGCTGTCATGAATAATGTTGCTATGAACATGAGTGTTCAAATATCAGAGTCTCTGCTTTCAATTATTTTGAATTTCAGTTCTTTTGGGTTCAGAAGTGGGATCATATGGTAACTCTAGTTTTGAGTTTTTGAGGAACCATCATCTGGTTTTCTATTGTGGCTGTACCATTTTACATTCCCACCAATAGTGCACAAAAGAGTTCCAATTTCTCCACATTCTTCCAACACTTGTTATTTTCCATTGTTCTGTGTATTAGTCCATTTTCACACCGCTGATAAAGACATACCCAAGAATGGGCAATTTACAAAAGAAAGAGGTTTAATGGGCTTACAGTTCCACGTGGCTGGGGAGGCCTCACAATCATGGTAGAAGGTGAAAGGCACGTCTCACATGGCAGCAGACGGTAAGAGAGCTTGTGTAGGGAAACACCCCCTTATACAATCAGATCTTGTGAGACTTCTTCACGATCCCGAGAACAGCACAAGAAAGACCTGCCCCCATGATGCAATTACCTCCTACCAGGTCCCTCCCACAATATGTGGGAATTCAAGATGAGATTTGGGTGGGGACACAGCAAAACTGTATCATTTTGTTTTACGGTAGCCACTGTAAAAAGTGCGAGGTGTAGAAAAGAACATTTTTACACAAAATATTTCCTCTGTGGTACGTGAGAAGGGCGAGAAATGAAAAGAAAGTCTAACTCACAGCATCTTTGCACTGAGGGTGCGTCATGACTGCCGAGGTCTCTTTGTAAAAGGGCTAATACAGATGTCTTGTCAACAGTCATCTTGGTGACATATATTGCCTCTGAAAAAAATGCCATTGATCCCCAAATGCAGACTACTTACAAGTGCTTTCTCCGCTCAATGAAAGGAAATAGCAGGAAAGAGAAAACTTCTTCTGATATAGAGAAAGTTATCATAAGCTACTAATTTTTTTTTAACAAAACACCAGAAATTATAGACTTTCTACAGTATTTATAAAATCTATTTTCAAAGTAGAAACCTTGGGAGTTTAGCTGCATATTCCACAGATGATGTTGTTTAGAGTTCCTCTCTAGGAAAGTCTTTCAGACCAAATATAATTACCATTTGGAAAATCAGCTCCATTTACTTATGATCATGCACAGACACGGTTCCCAAGGACTCCTGCTTGCTCCCCAAATCGAATCCACTCTCAAATCATGGTACCCTTAACCTGAATGCTATGACACCTGGGGTATTCTACAGAAAGTCTCACAGTCCCCAAATGCCATTGCAGAGTGCCTCGAGCAACAGCGGCCTCTGGCCAGTGAGTGTGGGCAGCCACTGCTCTTGGGGAAGGCGCCCAGTGCTCACTGGAGTGGGCAAGTCCAGGTCAAAAGCATGAACCAGGTCATGTTCATCCCTTGGTCCCTGATGCCTGCTACTGCATTAGCCATGTAACAGACAATCAGAATTATTAAACAGACTTTTTCTAAAATGTCTCTTCAATAATTCTGATTGTCTATGATAGAACTTATATATGGATTATATATTTAATCATATCCTGTAGAAGCAGCAAGTGTTCTCCTAAGGGATTGGCACGCTACAAAGCACACTGTTAAATGTGTAACAAAGCATACTGAGGGCTGGCAATTGACGAACCATCCACTGGAGTGAGTACGCATCTATTTGGTAATGGGTGGTGGCCTTGTGTCTATTGTAGGAATTTTTTTTTTTTTTTTTTTTTTGTGAGACAAGAGTTTTGCTCTTGTCACCCAGGCTGGAGTGCAATGGCATGATCTCAGCTCACTGTAACCTCTGCCTCCCGGTTTTAAGCAATTCTCCTGCCTCAGCCTCCCAAGTAGCTGGGCAAGTGTGCACCACCAAGCTCAGCTAATTTTTGTATTTTTAGTAGATATGGGGTTTTTTAATGTTGGCCAAGCTGGTCTCAGACTCCTGACCTCAGGTGATCTGCCTGCCTCAGCCTCCCAAAGTGCTGGAATTACAGGCATGAGCCACCGCGCCTGGCCTATTCTGGGATTTTTGAAAGGAACGAAAACTGCATCGTCTGGTGTCTGGGGCTGGGGTCACAGAACTTCCCCAGATGACTGAGACATCATGGGGCTCAGAGTTTGTAGCACATGGCCTAAGAAATGCAACCAAAAGCCTTTCTTGACTCAAAACCAAATGTTAAGTGAGATTTAACTCTTTGTGGAGGGCCAGGCGTGGTGGCTCACACCTGTAATCCTAGCACTTCAGGAGGTCGAGGCGGGCAGATCACCTGAGGTCAGGCATTCCAGACCAGCCTGGCCAACATGGTGAAACCCCCTCTCTAATAAAAATACAAAAATTAGCCAGGTGTGGTCGCACACGTCTGTAATCCCAGCGACTCAGGAGGCTGAGGCAGGAGAATCGCTTGCACCCAGGAGGCAGAGGTTGCAGTGAGCCAAGATTGCATCACACTGCACTCGAGCCTGGGCAACAGAGGAGACTCTGTCTCAAAAAACAAAAAACAAAACAAAAAAACCTTTTTGTGGAGAAACAAACTGCCCCCAAGCTAAAGATATGATAAAATTCTCCCTTCCACAACTTTACGTCCAAATTCACAGAGGAAAAGCAAGCATGCAGTTTGGGAAGTAGTTTCTTTAAATTAAAAAAAGTCGTTAAAATTCAAAGTTGACGTATTCTTAGCAACTCTAATAAAAAGCTGGTATTTTTAATCTAATGGATTAAGTTATTAAGGAATATTTCTGTGTTTCTTGTAAAGGGAGAGTTTTGGTATGAACATGTAACACATTTTGTTTACATTATGAAAGTAAAGCAACCAAAGAAAAATCAGTGTTCCTCAAAGAGGGTTGAAACATAAGAAAAAAATGATATAGCCACATCGACATCAACGACACACAATAGCTGTATCCCCCAAAAAGAAATGGTCCCAGTCCTGACCCTCAGTACCTGTGAATGTGACCCTTCGTGGAAAAAGGGTCACTGCAGGTGGAATCAAGGTAAGATGTGGTCACACTGGAGTAAGGTGAGCCCAAATCCTATGACTGTCATCTTTATAGGAAGAGGGAGGTCTGGACAGAGAGACACGCAGGAAGAACACCATGTGACAATGGAGGAGGGACAAAGAGGGACACAGCTACATGCCCAGGCATCGTACTTCCCTCAAAGGTGGATACCACCGTTAACCCCCACTTACTAATGAGGAAACCAAAGCCCAGATAGGTGGCCCAAGGTCTGATTTCCAAGCCTGAATTCTTAACAACATGCCTATTTCCTCTCTGAAGGGAAACATCTCTTCCCTTTCGCATGTCAGCTACAGGCCAAATCCCGTCTTACCTGGTCACAAACACAGCAGCATCCACCAGGGGCGGGTCGTCCTTCCCGCCGGGAACCTGGTTATTGCCAAGGTACCGTGCTCCTCCATACTCCTCATTCTGCCAGTGACAGAAGCTCTCCAGGGACCGCTCACCATGGTGCCCAATGGACAACTTAGCCTAAAAGAAATCGGGACAGTTAGAGACACAAACGCCTGGGAGGCCAGAGTTTATATCCAGACTATGGCAAGGACGTTAAGGTGGAGGCAGTCACTCACTGAGACATCATTTGATGACTCACCGCCCTCGAAGAAAAGCCTGACGCCAGTGGGTATACGGCATAGATCCAGAGAGACCATCAGGGGCCTTATATAGGTGCAAATGAAGACTATGTTGTTTTTAAATAAAGCATCTTATTTTCTGCAAACAGAACAGTATCCCAAACCACGCAATGCTCCCTCAGTCTCATGGTGATGGCTTGACTTGGCAGGTAACATCAGCGTGTGGGAAGGCGCGCCATTGAAAGACCAGAAAATAATGCTGCTGTGAACCCAAACTGGGGTAGAAGCTCTAATGTAGTTTCAGAAGGGAAGCCATGATGCCAGAGACCTCGTCATCAAGCTTTTGCACATATCCTAGAGACTCCATACGAGACCCTCCGGGAGTGGAGGGGGATGTGTGTGGGCTCACTGCTTAGGGTTCCTTGAGATTCTCAGCAGCCCACCCTCACACCATGCTTCCAGTACTGATGGCGGCTTTCCTCTCACACTGGCAAAGCCACAGAGGGTGATGGACACCAGCAACTCCCTGGAACTCCGCTTAGCATTCAACAGCAGTTGGGAAGCTCCAGGCCAGCCACATTTTCTGCATGCTTGAAAGGTGCCTGTGGGACTTACCGGACGTTGTCGTAGCAGGACAAGCTTGGTCACTTGAATGTTAATTTTAATCCCCAGGCTCTGGTGCTGAAACATATTGTATACCTATCAAGACAGAAAAAAGAAATAAAGATATAAAGATAAAAACTTTTAAAAATACAGTAGTATCCTGAATGGGAACTTGGGACACAGAAAAGAGATTATGTAAAAATAAGGAAATAGAAATAAAGTGTAGACTTTAGTTTATAACACTGTATCAGTATTGGTGCATTAATTACAACAAACATGCCATTCTAATATGAGAGGCTCATAACAGGGAAACTATGTATGGCAGTTCTCTGTATTAACTGATCAATTTTTCTGTACATCTTAAATTATTCTAAAATACAAATTCCATTCATAAAACAATTTAAAAATCAACATTAAAAATATAGGTTGTATTCTTCCAGTACTAAAAAAAACTAAAGAATAATTACGTGAAATTCCAATGTCAGTGTCCATACATAAAGTCTTATTGGAACAAAAAATACATATGTGAGAAACATAACCCAGATTTTATTTAAAAAGTTGTCCAGGAAAGCCAAAAATGTCCTTAAAAATGGATTTGCCAAAAGAAAAATGTAGATAAGAGAAACCTCTAGAATCATACACATGTGTGCAAACATACATATACAGTATGCTTATGTATATGTATAAAGCTAAGCTGGAAATAGTTGGTTAAAAAAAACAGGCACACACATAGGAAAGGTGGTTTTGAAAAAAAGAAAGGGCAGAAGGCTGAAAACTTCCATTCTGGGCTTTCATGCCTAGGGTTTAAGGGGACCTTCATGAAGGGGCTAGGGGAGACAGATGCCTGCTGCTGAACACCAGCCTGTGTTATTGCTAACCCTTGCCACATCCCACCAAGGCGGGCATCTCCACCACTCTCAGCTGGGAAACAGGGAAACCAGTTCATTGAGGTAAAGCCACCTGTGTGAGACCCACAGCCAGTCACAATGGTTTGATTCAAACTCAGCCCTGTCCAGCCAAAAGGTCTACATTCCTTCTTTATTTCCTCAAGCCCCATTGTAACCAAAGTTTGTCACTGAAATAAACTGCAGTAACAGAAAAGGACCTATCTTTCTTAATTTTGCATATCTTGTTGCAGAACTTAATCGTAAGGACCTCAACATCAAGCAGTCACAGGAAAGCGATTCAAAAGGAAGAGAAGGGAAACCTGGAATAAGGCGAAGGAGTCAAAGTTGACATGGATGGAAAAAGCCCACTGCAGCTGACGAGCCCCAGGTCATTACGACTCTGCCGAGTTCCTTTTTCGTAACGCAGAGAAAGCAGGATTGCGAGAGGTACGTGAATAGCGTACTAAAGGTGGTGGCGGTTGGAAGGTGTGGAGGGAACAAGAATGAGAATCTTTTGAATATTCTACTTGGTTTTTACCTATAGACATAACCCAGGAGGGAGAATTTTCTAGCAGGAACATTAAAACTTTCTCCAGCTGGCGCTGTGTTCACACTATCAATACATCAGCAGCAGCAGCAAGCGACAAGCACGGTAGACAGCATCGCCAGGGTCAACTCAGGCCAAGCGGAGCCGCTCGACAGGGCCGAACCCAGCCCACAAGTGCTAGAAGCCAGGCACACAGTGTTTGAGCATCTCCGTGACATAGGAATCAGCTGTGTCACTGCTTGAATTTTACTCTTTGAAAACCATTATTACAGTTAAAAACAAAAACAAAAACAAAAACCTATCTTTGTGTGACGTAATATTCCTTCACACAAGGAAAAATAGAACACATCCAGTTGTTCTCCTCTCACTTTTGTTATTTTCAAAATCTCCTTTCCTCAAGAACTAGCTGTCGTTTTCTTAATACTGGACCACCCACAAGCCAGTTCTGAAGTCATGCATTCATTACCTATCTCCAAGCCTGGGAGAGGAAGGGGGAGGCACCTAACTTGTTCCTGTTTTGATAGTTTCAGAACCATCCAATGGCTGTAATTCAAATCCTCCCTAAAATATTCAGCATCAGAATTGGGTCTAAACTGGTAAATTTCAGCTCAAAACATGAAAATTAGGAAGAATGAAAACCTGAAGTTATGAGGGAGAAAATTCAAGTTGCACAGTGTTGAGATTGCACAGCACAATCTAAACACTGCCTGTCACGTCAACCCCAGTCAAAACCAAAGCATTAAGGAATACTACAGATTTAAAGAAGTAACATGAGAAAACAATCCTCAGTGATATTCTGATATGCCACAAAAGGAAAGACTGCAAGGAACAGTGCAAGTTTCAGGAAGAACAAAACTGTAGCAACAAGCTCCCTTGTCAAAATCACCCATCTTCTCCTTGGCAGGCTGATAACAGTTCAGAGCCACGTGCACTCCATACACCATTAGCCCAAAGCTCAGTCACCTCCCTTAAAACAAATGCCACTAAAAAGATGGGAGATGGAAGGGGGATGTGAAAGTTTCGTGCTCCAGGGGCCGCGGGGGAGGCAAAAATGGGAAGGTGTTTAATGGGTACAGAGTTTCAGTTTTGCAAGATAAAAAAGCTGTAGAGATCGATTGCACAACAATGTGAACATAAGAATACTGAGCCACACAGTTAAAAATGGCTAAGATGGTAAATTTCATGTTAACTGCATTTTACTACAATTAAAAGTACAAAGTTAACTCATTAAAAAAATAAAGCTTCATGCTCTAAATAATGTTCTTTAGCAAGACTTGTAAGAAGACATTTCCTCTTGACATGTAACTAGGGCACTGACATCCAAGAGAGCAGGTACCAAAGCCTGAGCACAGCTCAAGCACTTTGTCACCTGCCAGGTGCTGACCACAGGCTCTGACAAAGCTCAGAGCACAGGGCAAGGCGCACACTCGGAATCTCCCTTGAGGTCCTGTGCCAAGCCAGGCGAGCCAGAAGAAAATCCGATGACAGCCACAAAACACAAGGTACAAGCCTCAAAGACATGTAACAAAGTCTCTGCTTTTCTTTTCCCATGGAAACTCATGCTCAGGAGAAGTCGTCGAGGCAAGGGCTACATGATGTTTAGGGAGACACCTGGTTGGGGCGGGAACAGCACAGCCAAGCGTCTGGAAATTCTGTCTCCGGCGTCCAGCTCTGGCTGCGTCCCAGCAAGTGTTCAGCCCTGGCTGTGTTTGTCACATTTCCTTGGCAGCCTAGGGGCCTAGCAGGGTGGACCTGCTGCCAGCAGCACACTACGGCTTCTCTGGCTAGGCAATGTGGGGACACAGTAAGGGGGGGCAGGCAGGGACCATAGAAGGAGCCGTGGTTGGAGGCACAAGGAGAGGAGCTGCTCACCACACTAGGCTGGGCTTCACAAGGGCACCACCTGCCTGTATAACCCAAGGTCTCCCTAGAGCCAGACAGGGACTTGTGGGTGACACTCTTAGGTTGCATACACCGCTATTAAGACCCCCAAACAGGAGAAAGCTATGCTCTGTAGCACAGTGTCTGAGTGGGGTCCCCAAAGCAGCAGCACCAACGTTACCTGGACACTTGTTGGAAACGCACATTCTGGAGTCCACCCCAGCCCCCACTGAATCAGAGACCCTGGGGTTGGGCAGGCCATCTGTGTTGAACAATGCCCCTTCCCCACCCTGCTCCAGGGCCTCCACCCCCACTGGAGTGTGGGAACCAGAGTGCTCTAGCACGATGCTAGTCTTGCTGGTCACCAGAGAGAGGCTTGTTGTCTCTTTCACATGGTAATTTAGTAAAATTGATGTCATTTTCCCTCGAAACAGAACTTGCCTGGAACAGCTCAGGTTTTTCATTCCATTCCACGGTCGTTAAGGAAGCTAAGAACAACCAAAGCTCTGTCAAGCGGCCCCATTTTCCAATTTGGCTGCCCACACCCACGGTTTCTGGTATCAGCACCACCTGTTTCCGTCTGCAATTTGTTCTTTAAAATATTCCTGCTCCTGTGTCACCGCCATCCCAACCAAAGGAGAATCACGTGACATACACAGGAAGCACCACAGCACATCCGGAAAACCCACAACAGTGGGACCAGAGCACCGCTCTGCAGCTTGGGTCAGCTCGGGCGCCCGGCTCGATGGAGGCTTCACCCTCCACACGTACCTGCACAGGTGAGTGGTTTGCCAGGGACACAGAGCCAGGAGCCGAACTCCATTCCCCCAAGTAAGAGGCAGGCAGAAGCATATTTTAAAACACTAACCAGAGCACATCACTCTTCTGCTTAAGCCCATGCAGCAGCTTCCCACTGCCTGGAACAAAGCTTCTCTCCACACCCTGGTGTCCCCCGCCTGCAAGGTCGGCCTGTCCGCTTCTCACTGTGCCCCCACCACCCTCCCCATCACACACAAGCAACCAGCTATTTCTGTGCTTCTCCAATGCCAGCCTGACCACCACTGGCTGGCTGCTTATGTTGGCTTAACACCTTCCCCTCTAAGACCACCTCACACCTCTCAGAGAGATGACCCTGAAACCTCTGTCACTGCTGTCACCTGGTTCTCTGCATAGCACTCACCATGCTCTGGTTTTCCTTCTCACTAATGTGCATGTTGAATGCTGCCTGTCATTCCTACTACATGAGCTCTGTGAGGATGAGACCTCTAGTGGTCCCTACTCTATCCCAGGAGAGGACACAAGGATCCTTAGCACACACTAAGTGTGTCAATTGTTTTTATATTGCTGGTGAAACAAATATAACATAAAATTTACCATCTCAACCATTTTTAAGTGTACAACCGTGTACTTAACTGTAGTGTTAATTACATTCATGTTGTTGTACAGTTAACCTCCAGAATGCTTTTCATCCTCCAACACTGAAGCTCTATACTCAAGAAACACTAACTCCCTGTCCCCTCAACCCCACCCTCATTCTATGACTTGGATACTGCAGTTACCTCATGTAAGCAGAATCATTTAGCTCTTGTGTTTTTGTGACTGGCTTATGTCACTTGGCATAATGTCCTCAGTGTTCATCCATGTTGTGGCATGTGTGGGAATTTCCTTCTTTTTTAAGGCTGGATGATACTCCATTGTATGGACACTCCACATTTGGTTTATGTGCTCATCTGACAATGAACACCTTGGCTGTTGCCGTCTTTCGGCCATTGTGAATAATG